AAAAAAATATTTAAGTTTGTTTTTAAAAAATGTTTTCAATTTCAAAAATTATTTTCTACTCTAGTAAAAATAAAAGATATTTCTCAAAAATATTTTTTCATTCATAAATTAAACACTAAAAATCTTTTTCGGAAAATATTTTCTACTCACCAACCAAACATGAGAAAATAAGTCAAAAATCAACTTGTTTTCCAGGAAAACATTTTCTAGGAAAACATTTTCCTTCATACCAAACACACCCATATACTCGAAAATGTAATTTTCACAACTTCAGAAAACTTTTTTTATGAAAAGTTAATAATCGAAAAGATGAAATATTCTTGTATTACGGTATGTTTATATTATGTTTTCAATTTATATATTGATAAAGTTGGATTACTGTTAATCTATATTTGAGTATTTCAAATACAATATATAGTCAAACCTCTTTATAATGATAATATTTGATCTGTTATGAAATAAAATAATAAAATAAAAAGAAGAAAGGTAGAGACAGGAGCAGTAGTAGAAAGAAGTGGAGTAATTTTCCTTTTCTATGTCATCTTCTTATTGTTGTGTAACTACCCCTTTTATAGGGATAAAATTACTTGGAGAGGTTGGCCTCCTACAGTAACAAATATATATTATTTACAATATGACCCATAAAAATACACTATTTATAACACTCCCCCCTTGAATGTTTATGTACAAAGGAAAAGAAGAAATGTCCATAGTTATTTATAATACGAATTATTTGCTGCCTCATTAAAAACCTTACCAGAAAATTCAGTGGGATAAAATCTTGGTTAAGGGAAAAAGAGTGCAGCGCGTATTTACTCCCCCTAATGACGATGTCACTTAATGTCTCGAAGATAACACATTCCAATCCTATGTCTCAGCTTCTCAGAGGTTGAAGTTGGTAATGCCTTGGTAAATATATCTGCTAAATTATCATTGGAACGAACTTGTTGAACATCTATTTCACCCTTCTTTTGTAGATCATGAGTAAAAACGAATTTTGGTGAAATATGTTTTGTTCTATCTCCTTTGATGTATCCTCCTCTTAGTTGAGCTATACATGCAACATTGTCTTCAAATAATGTTGTTGGGATGTCTCCTTTTAAGGGAAGACCACATGTTTCTTGGATGTGCCGAGTTATTGATCTCAACCACACGCATTCTCGACTTGCTTCATGAATGGCTATAGTCTCTGCATGATTTGAAGAAGTAGCAATCATAGTTTGTTTTGTTGAACGCCATGATATAGCTGTACCTCCATATGTAAATAAATAACCTGTCTGAGATCGACCTTTATGTGGGTCAGACAAATATCTTGTATCTGCATAGCCAATTAATTGTGAATCAGACTCTTTTGAATAAATTAGTCCTTGAAGGTATCTAAATATATGTTTAATACCATTCCAATGCCTTCATGTTGGGAAAGAACTAAATCTTGCTAATAAATTTACAGAAAAAGATATATCTGATTGAGAATTACTAGCAAGGTACATCAATGCACCAATTGCACTAAGATATGGTATTTCAGAACCAACAAGTTCTTCGTCATTTTCATGAGGTTGAAATGGATCTTTATTAATATCAAGTGATCTCACAATCATTGGGGTGCTTAATGGATGTGTTTTATCCGTGCAAAATCTCTTTAAAATATTCTTAGTATATGTTGATTGATGAATAAATGCTCCATTTGCAAAATGTTCAATTTGTAGACCAAGATAAAATTGTGTCTTTCCAAGGGTTTTCATTTCAAATTCCCTTTTCAAACATTCTACTGCTTTTGAAAGTTCTTTGCGAGTTCCAATGATATTCAAGTCATCAACATATACAACTATAATGATAAATTCAGATCCAGACCTTTTAATAAATACACAAGGACAAATTAGGTCATTCTCATACCCTTTCTTTAATAGATATTCACTAAGGTGATTATACCACATATGTCCTGATTGTTTCAATCCGTATAAAGTTTTTTGAAGTTTTATTGAACAACTTTCCCAGGAATCTTTATATATTTCAGGCATTTTTAATCCATCAGGAATTTTCATAAAAATATCGTTGTCTAGTGAGCCATATAAATAGGTTGTAACGACATCCATCAGATGCATGTCAAGTTTTTCATGAATTGCCAGATTTATAAGATACCTGAAAGTGATTGCATCCACCACAGGAAAATATATCTTCATATAATCAATATCAGGTCTTTGCGAAAATCATGCCACAAGTCATGCTTTATATCTTACG